TGTGTGTGTGTGTGTGTGTGTGTGTGTGTGTGTGTGTGTGTGTGGTCTTGCTGTGTGAAAGTTTCTGTGAATCAGAGTGTGGCAAACCAAGGACAAATATAATTTTCACAAATTGAAAATATTATTCTTTGGTTTAAGGATGTACAGATACCAATGACGGTCTTTTGTACAAATAAAGATCGTAACTGATTTGTATTTCCAGGACTGTCTGGTCAATAACTGTAAATGTGATATATTATGTGCTTCATAAAAACAGTTTGAATTCAGTGTAATCCAAAACTAAAGCGCTCATTCCCCAAATGTGATTCATCACAGAACTGTTACAGCACATTAGTGTCTTCACACAATGTATAACAGCTCATTAGATTACTAAGGAATACAATGAGCACAACAGACACTTGCACGCCCAGACACTTGATCCAGATGTGGCAAAGAAGCACATTTCCAGTAAAAGAAAGTGGTAGACCATTCCTCTGTGTATGTGTGTGTGTAAGTGTCTGTTTGAGCAGGGTTAAAAAGGGGTCTGTGAAGAGACGGCCAGCTGAGAAAGGAGACAAAAAAAAGAGGAGAGAGAGAGAGAGAGAGACCTTACTCAGTCCATTTATTGTTGAAGGCCAGGTGTGAGATCCTGATTAACAGAATGCCACACATATGAGAAGTACATTTTAAATTGCCGTCTTTCAGAGCCATGTGACTTGAAGGTCACAAATAAGAATGTTATTTATAAAAAACATATAAAGTAATAAAGAGCTTAAACATTAAGTGTGTCAGAGTCAACGTGTGAGTGTGTATGTGTATATGTGTGTGTGTGTGTGTGTGTGTGTGTGTGTGTTTAGGCCTTTTGTTGTCCAGGCTGACGAGATGAGCAGTCCCTCTTATGATCCAGTGGTCTGGGGTCACAGCTCCGGTTTTGAGGTCGAGCTGCCCCACCCGAACGCTCCAGGAAGTAGTGACACAGACACAGGTCCTACACACACATGAGCGCACAGACAAGGGATGAGACAGCAAAACCACAGGACATGACATCACAAACTATAAACAAACAGATGGAGAAAACAAAAAAGCAATGCTGAATCATTCAAAATAAAATAAAACAAAGAGGATGATGGAAAAACAAAAAAAGTCCCAAATGACTCACTCCTGGCTGCCGTCTTGCGGTTTTCCACAGGTTTGAAGTGCATGGTGGGAATGGGACGGACCATCTGCATGGGTTCAGCTTCCACCAGACAGCGGTTCCTCTTGTCCCAACCAGCCCCGTCCAGGTAAAAACCTCCATGACAAATACTCCATCCTGTAGGGGGGAGGGGGGCGGAGGGAGAGGAGGCAGGGAGGAGAGGTAATGAGCAGCGAAGCAAGGAAGAAAAGGGAGGAGACAGATAGAGGTGGTGAGAGATATAAACACTTGTTTGGAGGTGACATTCTGCACACAGCTTTTGTTTATGACAAACAGCCATGCCAATTAGGTAATGAAACTGAGAAAGGAGTGGGAGCGTTTACAACTAGGGAAAGGGGGGGGGGGGGGGTGCAGGGGAAAAGAAGGAGCTAGGAGAGAGGGATGAGGGAAAGAGGAAGATACAGAAGTTAAGGTAGAAGGAAGGAAAGAGGAGAGAATGGAAAGCAGTAGGTGATGGTGGAGAGCGCGATGGAAGAGAAGGGGCAGAAACAGCCAAGGGGAAAGATGTTGGGGAGAAGCAGGCTGAGTGGAGGTAGGTGAGACAGGACTTAAGAAGAAAGAAGGAAGGGAGGAGGAGAATAGCAGGGGGAGAAGAAGAAAAAAAAAAGAGAAAAGATAGTTTGGACAGAAGGAAACAGTCAGAGATCGAAAGAGAAGCAAGAGGGAAGCAGCACAAAAGACAGGAAGAGCTGGAAGTGTGCATTGGTTTTGGAGTAGCAAAGGGGAGAGAGACGTGAGGGGAGGCACAGAGGAGTCCATAAAGAGAAGAGAGGGAAAGAAGATGAAGTGAGAGAGAAGTAAAGAGCTACAGTGACAGACATTCTGAAGCGGGAGCAACACGACAAATTGAAACACTTTTCACCAACGTCAAAAATGTGTGCTTGGTGAAAGTGTCAAAACGCAAGAGCAGATTTGAGGAATGGGGAAGCGAGCAGCGCGCAGCTTTGAATGAAAAGAATGTTTCAAAGAGTCAATGTCTCAGTGGAAATGAAAAATGTGACGGAAAGTGCAGATGACAGCTGAAAGCTAACGGCTCAGAAAAAAAAGTGGTCTGATGGTAGCTTTATGGAAATCTTTATAGTAATAGAAACTTGTGTATAGGGAGTCACCTTGGGCGGGTAGAGGAGGTCGCTGGCATCCACAGTGGACACTATAAACCCCCGAGACAGCGTGTCCACTGATATCTGCAACAGTCTCATACCATGGTAACTGTTGGATGGACAAGATGTTATCTTCACTGATTGAAAAGACACACAAGGACATTTACATTCAATGCAAGTAGAGACATGTTCATGTTTTGAAAACAAACAGCAGAAGTGACAGGTATAAATGCATACCTGTTAAATAAATTGCTCAAGTGTCTTAAGTGCGGGTGGTTGTTGGCAGAGAGATGCTGAGAGGCTGAGATTAATGTATGGACTCAACAGAGCGAGAGGAAAGAGTGTTTAGCAGGTTGGCTCTGGTTTGGCTGATTCACAAACGAGCTGTGTGATGGATTGGCCGTACGAGCGGTATTTCCTAACGCAGTGTCACTGTGCGGATGCGGTTGTGTGAACTCTCTCACGCTGTGTGCCGTCGAGCAGAGGACCGGCAGCACAGCAGTGAGGAACCCGGAGAGACAGAACCAGTTGAGGGGCTGGGCCGCCTCTCTGCCCGGCCTGCAAACTTGATGGACTCGCTGGCAAAGAGCCCTGGTCCACGCTGCCAGGGGCTTCAGTGAAGGGTGGGCCCGGTGGACAGAGAGAGTGAACTCTTCAGTCATAATGCAGCTGTGGTACGGGAGAATTGTGTGAACACAGTTATGTTTAAATATAGACATGAAAACTTTCTTCGGTTGATTTTTAGAGAACGACTCTTTAAATAGCTTTTGTCTGGTAACATGACATAACTTTGATATGCCAAACAATATTCTTTTTAAAGCACACTAATATTAACATGACTCAGCTACTTGCGTGTAAAATAAGGAATCTTCATTATGTGTTGCATGCTTTGTCAGATTCAGGCAAAGAAACCTGATACAAAATGGCTGGAGATAGAGAGGCAGACAGGCCAAAATTAAAGCCATGAGTCTGTGAGCTCAGAACTAATGACAGGCTGCCATGCCGAGGAGGGGCGGAGAAGAGAGGGATGGAGGGATGTGAACAGAGTCTATGAGGGGCTGTTGTTGCTGCTTACACCAGATGAGTCATGAGGAGATGAGAGAAAGAAGAGCGCCAAATGGAGGGAACGCAATTTGGAAGCTAAAAACGGAATGAGACACAGATGAAGATGAAGTAGACATCGAGGAAACCAAAGTATGCAAAAAGAGAAGTAGACCAAGTGGTCAGTCGAACAGAATAGAGAAGCTCAGCTGGAGGCAGCAGCCCTAATAGCTGTCCAATATTGCTATCAAAGGAAATACACGCACACACGCACGCACGCACGCACACACGCACACACACATCCAGTAGTAATAAGCTGCTGGCTAGAGCAGAATGAGCTCAGGG